ACATCCTACAAATGTCCTGAACTATTCTGGACATATTCAGGATGATCCTGAGGATGTTTTGTGCTGTCTGGGTAATAACATATATTATATAATATATATTATACATATATTTTACATTAGATGATATAAAATAATTATAATAATTTCAATAATAACACATATATCGTCCATAATATGTATTCAAATAAAAAAAATCACGCGCAGCTAACAAAAAATATTAATAAATCCATAATATTTTTGTATTTTTGATTAAAACGGCCGATTAATGTATGTCCATGCTAGATCCATAATTGTGGATCTAGCACGGACATGCACCAATCGACCGTTTTACCCTTAGAACATATACATATAAATGGAAGAGGAATAGCAGGCTGAAAAGTGTTCGAAGGAAGTGAGAAAGAAAATCATAGTTGCCTCTCTCTTGTGAGTAACTACTCGAAAGTACGCATGCCGCCATTTACTGACACATACAAGCATCGTGTCTGTAGATATACATATTTTTGTGTACACACACATGTGACTAATGTGACCTTATTTTTCATTGGGCCAAACCGGCAACACCGTGCATGCGCACTTTTGAGCAGTTACTCACAAGAGAGAGGCAACTATGATTTTCTTTCTCATTTCCTCCGGACATGTTTTTCTTTCGAGAACAATAGGCATTCCCCTTTCATTTATATATGTTCTAAGGTTTTACCATGGCACCGAAAAGTGGATCCGGCCACGTAGTTCCGCCGGCTCTAAAATGGATCCAGTTAGCGCCACTGTACCGACTAGAGAAAGCGTTACAGGAAAAACGGCGGCGTGGTCCCTCTCAGGCTTCTCTCTGGCCGGTATTCATAGTCAGTTCTTATATTTAAGACCGTCTTAGGGCCACCGCCCAAGCTTTTCCGTAATGCATTACGTTACGTTAAGTACTGATTCTAAACCTAAACCTAAACTCGTACGTAATCTTAAACTTCAGTCAACGCACAAACAAAATCGTAACGTAGTATGCTTTTGTTACGTTACGATTTTCTCTGTTTTACCTATGGATTGACTGTGGTAAATTTCAATTCAATTGCATTAAAACAGGTTTAATTATAACTTTATGAAATCGTATAATTTCGGATTGAGGTGGATGTATATCACCCAATATTAACCTGCCTGAAGCGTACTAAATTCGATTTGACTATTTTCAATCGGTTTTAATACCGCATTTTCGGTGCAGAAATCCCGATCGATTCGGATTACATTTTTTTAAATCCGTTTTAATCGACCATTTTCGGCAGGGATGTCACAGATGTCTATACTAAACTAGATTGCTAACTTGTCACGATAACAATGGCATGGTTTGCGTCCGATAGGATTCCAGGCCGTGTTCCGATATTCACTGCCAGTACTGAAAATTTATAGTTTACGTCACATATACTATAGATTTTCAGTACTGGCAGTGAATATCGAAACACGGCCCCAATGTATGAGAAAAAATGGCCGTCGCCGCCACATTTAAAATAATTATTGCGTGTAATATTTAACAAAGTTTTTTAATAATTACTGTTTAGATTTAACAAATTAAATATAAATTACTAAAATAAGTGTAAATTACTAAAATAATAGTTATTTTAATTGTTGATTAATCAAAAAACCCATTTAAATGTGATAAACAATATTTAATAATATTTTAACCATATTTTAACAATATTTTAACAATATTTAATTTAAAAACATACATATATTAAAACGCTCTGAATTAACATCATAAGGACATCCTTGTGCTGTCTGGGAAGTTAAAAATTAATTTATTATTAATTAATTTAATTATTACGAAATAAAATAAGTTTTGTCAATCGATGGCGTTGACTGATTGGAGTATTTTTCTTAGACAATTTATTCCTTAGACATAATATTATAGCAGTTATTAGTTGAACACAATGTGGAGTGTCTACTCCAACTTCTAATCCGTCAAAGCATCTATTATCTAATGGAAATATATCAGTATTTAATACAAATTTTCTTGTTATTCGAGTAACAATTTCATTGTATGCACCTCTTTTTGGAATCTGTGTACGGCTATCTCCTATTAAAAAAGAGAATTCCTTTTCGGTACTGCAAACAATCTTATATACATCATGTGATGCATATACCAATCCTCCGTTATTTTTTAGATCAACTAGTATTGTATACATTATCAATTTTTTTTATATATATATATTTATAATAAAAAGTTAAAAATTAATTTATTATTAATTAATTTAATTATTACAAAATAAAATAAGTTTTGTCGATGGCGTTGACTGATTGGAGTATTTTCCTTAGACAATTTATTCCTTAGACATAATATTATAGCAGTTATTAGTTGAACACGATGTGGAGTGTCTACTCCAACTTCTAATCCGTCAAAGCATCTATTATCTAATGGAAATATATCAGTATTTAATACAAATTTTCTTGTTATTCGAGTAACAATTTCATTGTATGCACCTCTTTTTGGAATCTGTGTACGGCTATCTCCTATTAAAAAAGAGAATTCCTTTTCGGTACTGCAAACAATCTTATATACATCATGTGATGCATATACCAATCCTCCGTTATTTTTTAGATCAACTAGTATTGTATACATTATCAATTTTTTTTTTATCAGAAATTTTCTGAACGGGCCATTTCAACTTTCCGCTCAATGAAACCAGCATAAACACTAAAACTTCGGATGCATATGTTTCTGAATCTTCGATTGTAATGTCATTGCCGTAATCGCACGTCCCAACGAATTTTTCTTTCGATTTGTCCCATATAAGTTGTTTCCGTATTGCCATCGAATCAAAGATCAGATTGCAGTTTCGTGATTGAGGTGGAAATTTGGAAATCTCTTCAAAAACATTTTTTTAAAATCCTGGTTTCCCGTTAATTGAAAACAACCAATTTCTTATGCTGCTGGCGTGTGGTAAATGAAGAAGTGATCTGAAAATATTCACTTTTTTTAATATTCACTTTCGTCGTAAAACTAAAACAGAAATCGCTAACAGTATAACACAAGAAATAAATTTGTTTAAGTTACCTGCAGTAGCTGTAGGCTTTTGGCGAATAGAAATGTAACGTTAATGCAAATTTTTTTATTTCGTCCGTATATCTGCATCCTTTTCTTGATTTGTTACGGTTCTGCCATTCGTTTTTGAATAAATCTCCAACTATTCCATTGAAGTTTTTAACAATCAATTCACACCCATTATTTTCAAGAAGGTTCTTCTGTCTATTTATTATATATGTACAATTCAACATCCATTTGTGTATATTATTTCATTTATTTAGGTGTACTATATATACACAATTGCTCACACTCGCAGTAATTTAGTATATTTTGTTTCAACAAACGATTATATTCATAGGTATTTGAAGTATATATGACAACCCATAAAAATTACAGATAAAACACGATCAGATGAATTGAATACTGCATAAAATCTATGCAGAATTTATGTGTTATATTCGATATTTGAAAAGGTTTTTATCTGAAATTTTTATAAGGGATACGATTACCCAATATACGATTACACTTTGAATGTGCTCAAGTGTATACGTAAATTGGGATATAGCATTTATATATCAAATTACCTTAATTGTTTTAATAAATCTTGGAGTGAAACAAGTTTTTTTTTCTTTTCTTCTTAACTTTTCTTTCAATGTTTTAATTTCTCTCTGCATTTTCTTCTTTCTTGGCGAGATTTCTTGATTTTTAAAATGGAATGTACTACTATGCATTATTTTAATTTTTTTCACTTTAGAATGCTCCATAGTATCAGAGATATTCATATTGGTATTTTCCACAGTTGGCAGATCATCAATCAAAGCAGCAGAGGAATGCTGGTCTATCTTTTCTAATAGACTCCTCGTACGAGTCTGGTAAACTTCTTTTCTCTTCAAATCTTTCTTTAGAAGAAGTTCGTCTGTTGCGCTTTCAGTCATTTGAATCGAATCCACATTAAATGTTGAATAAGTTGAATGATCAAACAAATCTAATGATGATATGGCTTTTATCGGTGAATGAAGTAAATTTGTCAGTTTTGTTAATGGTATTGAAGAATCAAATAAATTATCTGCTGATGTTGTTGGAAGATCGACAATTTGAATGTTTTGGTACTGCGAATTTGGTTGGCGGATTGGCGATTGAATTTTCTGATGCAATTGATATTTGTGGAGATTCATTTCCTGGCGTGCTGGGAAATATCGTTGGAACAGCACTATAATTTAAAAGCAAACCATTTGCACGTGTACTCAGAAAATCCTTTTGCTGAAAATGAGCAGAGCAAATAACATCCAGTTTTCTTGGTTTAAAATTCAGGTCTCTAATATTTTGAAGCCATTTCTTCAAATGGTCTTTTCTTTTAAGTGGGAATTTAAAAAATTAAAAATTTCATTTTTACTATAACCTATAAAATTGCATTAACCGCTATTTATTTTTTGTGAAATATTTATATATTTATTATAAATGTGAAACTTGCCTAAATAAACTAACACCATCCTTTTTTTTTGTTGTGACACTTTTTGATGCAACAAGAAGCCGGCATTTTTGCTTTACAAAAGATTTTCTTAAAACTCACACGAATGATTCGCTTCACACACACAGGACCGCTGCCATTTTTTCTCATACAACCGGAAATCTCATGCGACGCAAGTCCGAAGGCCCAGTTAGTAAGCTAATTTAGGCCGGTATTCATAGTCAGTTCTTATATTTAAGACCGTCTTAAGCATAATCTTAAGATGTCCTAAACCAATCACAGAGCCGTATTAGCATCTTAAGACATTACTTAAGACGGTCTTGAAATAAGAACTGACTATGAATACCGGCCTAAGACATTACTTTAGACGGTCTTGAAATAAGAACTGACTATGAATACCGGCCTAAGACATTACTTTAGACGGTCTTGAAATAAGAACTGACTATGAAAGAAGTTTTGTGGAAATAAATTTATTTATTTTATCTGTCAGCAATAACAGATGACAGATCAGTACGTATATAAATATAGTTACGAGCCTGAGGGTGCGAATTCTACGCAATATTATTGGCAAACTTTGATCATTTATAACTCAAAAACTATTGTAGCCTTGATATTTCTATATTAAAATTTTTTATTCCATTTTGCCTCTAGAATACGCTATTACAATATTGTACGGAGGTTGTGAGACATCCTGTATATATATGTCATGTTACTATAGAAAATAAAAGTTTTGTATTTCGCAACTTAGCGGTTTGAAAATAATTGTAATGAATTAATGAGATTTTTACGATTAAAGTGACACCAAACATGACATAAAGTGGATAATTTTTAATTAAACATGTTATCAAAATTTTGATTATTTATTTAGTGAAAAATTATTCGATTTATGTCATGTTTGGTGTCATTTTAATCGTAAAAATCTCATTAATTCATTACAATTATTTTCAAAACGCTAAGTTGCGAAATACAAAACTTTTATTTTCTATAGTAACATGACATATGTATATATATGAAAGGTTAGAGATAAAAAAAGCCTCGCGAGAGAGACTTCGGAACTCTTTAATGTTAGTCATCTCGCTTGCTCTTCATTCATTCTCGCTCTCGCTTTCGACGACTCTTCAGAAGCGAGAATCTTTCCTTATTTACAATACATAAACATAAAATAAAAACTAAAACTTTTATTTTGTATTTTATCGATTTGAAAATAATTTTAATGGTTTGATAAGATTTATGCAATTAAAATATGACATCAAACGCGACATAATCGGATTTATATTTAAATATATTATACGTTTAAATATTATACATTATTTTTTTTAATAATAAATAAATATTAATAAATACAAATAAATATTTAAAAAAGAAAATAAATCTTAGAAAATTTGAACTCAAAATCTAGTTTTCAAAGTGATAGGGTGATGAACACTTTCTCTTAGGCTACTGCGTATTGTTAAAATTGATGTCAACGCTATGAGTATACTTATGTAATATATAACATTCTCGCATAAAACTTTATAAAGTCTTTGTTTCTAGATTAAAAAAATCATTTGTAATTACTCGAGATGCTTTTGTTTGAGGATAATAGATAAGAAAAAATTTTTTTTTTGCAGATGTTATTTTGTATTAGAGAAAGAAATTTATTTTATTTATCGTACTCAACATTATAAAGATTACAAAACTATACACAATAATTTATTTTGTTTTACAAGGATTCTTAAGATGTCCTAAACCAATCACAGAGCCGTATTAGCATCTTAAGACATTACTTAAGACGGTCTAGAAATACGAACTGACTATGAATACCGGCCTTAAGGTAACATTTCATGAGCAGTGAAAAGCAGCAGCAGTTTAGTAACTAACTAGCATTGTTTGGTGATTTTACAGAATTGCTGCGCTGCCCATGAAATAAGTTTTCTGCAATGTTTTAAATCGTTAATCTCAATTTTGATATTAATTGAGATATAACCGAATAAGTAATTATTTTTATAATTATAGTTCCTACAAACTTACCTTTGGTGATTCCATACTTTAGAATATATGTACATATATAACCAAAACACAGCTTTTACTGCTTTGCTGTTCAACAGGATGAACTTCAAACAGCTTCAAAAACTTGCGCCGGAAGTACGTCACCGATTCTAGTTACTTTCTAAACTGCTGCTGCTTTTCACTGCTCATGAAATGTTACCTTTAGTCATAGACATAGTATATCTAGACCGAGCGTTTGCCTTTATTTAAGGAGTGGGGGTGAAGATGCACGTAGAAAAGGACATACTCTATTTCGTACCCCTTGCGTTCTCTCTCGCTCGCACGTAGCATAGCGCTCTCTTTCGTCATGCTACGTGCGAGCGAGACAATTCCCCTTCCAGGTATATATGTTCTAAGATCTATACCCCCACTCCTCAACACTCGGTCTAGATATATTATGGGTGCGTTCCGTTTCACGCATTGAGCGCATAGATCGCCTGAAAATCTATAGTTCACGTAACATATATTATAGATTTCCAGGCGATCTATGCGCTTGTTACGTCTCGACAATGCTCTTTTCTTACTATACTTCGGTTAGTGAGAAAAGGATAGCTCTCTATTTTTTATAGGGCAACCTGCTTCCACCGGCTATACCCCAGGGACGCCGAGAGCTAGGACTAATCTGGTGGATTCTAGGGGAATGACGTTAGGCACGGAACTAACCTTTACTAGAGTAATTTTACTGGATGTTAATTCTAGGGATATGAGCATGCGCAATTAGATATATTCAATTTTGAGGGTCTTCAGGGTTTTCAAGCAGGGCAATTAGTTGATCTATATCCAAATTGCCGTCTACAAAATCGGTAATAAGTCTAGCGATTAAAGTTAAGATTTGCTCGTGCATGCGACTTATTATGGCTTGAACTTACTCATCAGTATATAAAGGTTTCATTATTCGAAAATTAATGGAACATTTTGCATTGCTGATTAATTATGAATCTAAATATCTAGCGTATTCATCTATTTTTAAGTGTTCTTCAGGCAATTGTTCTTTTAACTGAGAAATCAGGTCTCGGGGAGTTGTTTGATTTTCGTCGCGACAACTTTCTTTAGAATAATTTATATTTTGATACAATTCGTTTACTAATATGAATTCCGGTGTATAAGTGAACCCTGCCGAAAATGGTCGATTAAAACCGATTAAAACATAATCCGTTTTAATCGGTTTTAATCGGTTCAATCGGCGCCCGGATTAAAAAGTAATCGATTTTAATTCCGAACAAACTATAATCGGTTTTAATATCGCTTTCGCGGATTATTTCCAATCTAAAATCATTACATTCTAATCCATATTGTTGTCAATCTAAATAAACACGAATAATCGAATGGATATTGTGGTTGCCGTAGGTCGTCACATTAAGCACAATCCGCGATACAATAGTGCGACCCGCAACTTGGCGGCCCACGCGCTCGCGCGTCCGCGCGTAGTTCCGGGTGGTGCCGCTACGAGGCGAAGGTCGAGCGAGCCAACCTGCCCTGCCGAAAATGGTCGATTAAATCGGATTAAAAAAAAAGTAATCCGTATCGATCGGGATTTCTGCACCGAAAATACGGTATTAAAACCGATTGAAAATAGTCAAATCGAATTTAATACGCTTCAGGCGGATTAATGTTGGGTGATATACATCCACCTAAATCCGAAATTATACGATTTCATAAGTTACAATTAAATCGGTTTTAATACGATGTGAATCTGTCGGAGGACGACAAAAGTAATCCGTTGCTATTCGAAATTCCACCATTTTCCACGATTTCAAAACATTGATTTCACAATCAAGCTATTTAAAATCAAATCTTTATTTCTTTCTCAACTGCATAACACTTACAAAAAAATACTCCTAATTTGAGTGTATTGTTTGGTTTTTAATCGACAAAAATCTTATAATAAACTCATATAAACAAAACGTAATTAAACTTATGATAAATGTAAAACCTTATAATAAACTCATATAAACAAAAAGTAATTAAATTTATAATAAATGAATAACATAGTTAAAAGAACAAACTTTTCTGACCATTACGATGAATGAATTTCGGGCGAGTAATCGTAAAAACGACTATCTTCGTCATCCTCAACAACATTTACGTCTTCCTCGTTTCGTTCGTCAGTCTCTTCGCTGCTTTTACTTTTCTTGCTTTTGTTTTTATCGCTGTTTTGTCGTCGCTTTTTTGCATTTTCGTCGGTGACTTTTTCACGCGAACTTTTCTTGAAATCAGCAAGTTTTTTTCCCACGTAATAATAAAATTTCGATAATTCTCTCGTAATATTGTCTTTGTGAGGAGCGTTAGCAAATTTCTTTTTGTACGTGTTATTTATCCAATGCTTGTATATATCTGAACAAAAATAAAAATGACAATATACTTTAGTTAAACATTACATTCTTACATATATTTGTATTAATATTATACGTTGTACAATTAAACACGTTTTACCTTCACAAGCCCCCAGTTTCTTTTCGTCCAGTTTATTGCATGGTCTTTTTTCACTGTGTCGTGCACTAGTGTATCCTGTAACGGTGCTAGTCATGAGCAATTCATTGTCGAAAACAGGGAAAATAATGTTACTTGCAAATTGGCGAGGAGTTTTCGACGAGTTGCACACTCTGTTATAGTGAATTTCACTAATCCACTCGTTTCGCCCAATGTGGATCTGTAGTGCATACATTAATTTTTATTACCATGACGAACAATTTTTATAAATAACATAATACATAGAAAAGCCTCATTACCATCCCATTAGACTGTCTTGTCCCAATTGGTGGAAAATTATTTTCATACTGCATGTTGATATTGGCAGTCAATATGGTTTTCAGCGTTGCTGTAAAAGTTAAAATGTTTTAGTTATTTTTATCTACAGCCATAACAATTTAAAAAAGTACAAGACTCTGCTCAGACAGCACACATGTCTAAAAGATAACTAAAAAGATGACTTAAAGACGTCTTATTGTCTTTTATATATCTTTAAGATATCTTTTGGCCTTTCTGTGCTATCTGGGTAGCCATACAGAATGTAATATTACTTATTAGTGCATTTATTATACTTCAAGAATTTCAGATACTTTTATAAACTGACAAGAAAGAGGCATAATGTATACACAACTTCTTATCTTCGCATTCGTTAGTTTTATCGATCAACACCGTTTGCAGTCGTTCGTTTAGTTTTCTTACATTTGTCAACTCGGACATTGCTTCCTCCAGCTTTTGTTTTATTTCTTTACGTTCATTTCGTAATTTGTCATTGCGTTCCTGTAATTCTTCAAACCTTGATTGTAATTTCGAGATTTTTTCAGGAAGCAACGATTTTTTTTCTTTTAACTGCAAAAAACGAGTACAAAAATTTAAGTTAAAAATGTATATTGTACTGCTATTATAGTAGTACTATGTATGCAGAGAGGAAAATGTATCCAAACGTATGAGAGTTAAAATAATTTTCATCAATACATGAGATTAAAACAGCGACAAATATCACTGAATCAAAAACGGCATCATAAATACATTTATATATACTACTGTAATAATCCCTCCCATATATTTTGAAAATTATTTGAAGAGGGCATGTAGACCTAAAAATTTTGAAAACATGCCTTTTTGTTTTTTTTACACATTACGAAAAGTATAAAGTTTCAAGAAAAAGTTTCTTCGAAAATTTAAAGACGGTTATTTTAAAATTACCAGAGAGAGATACAAAATTTGAAACAAGAACTTGATGTATGTTTTAATCACGTTTATCTCTCGAAACTTCTTTTTTTAAATTGGTGCCAGTAATATCTTGGCAACGGCTACCGAATTATTTAAAATGTCTACTAGTTATTCTGTTATATATTATGTTATATATTTAGTCTTAATTATAATGAATTTTATGGAGCTGTATGTTTGCCACAATGAATTTTTTCTTGCAAATCGCTACTTTCATTTTTAACCGATTATTGTTTGATTTTTGTAGTTTATTTAAATATCCTTTTGGAAGCTGCGATTAGCAACGCAAAATCTTTTTTCAAAAACATACCGTGCAGTTATTTGCAACAATTTCAATAATTTTTTCCTTTTTTTAGAACATCTTTTTCACCAAAGTACTCGCAAACAAAATACAAACACCTTGAACTCCGATTGAATGTATTTATGTATTAAACGAAAAAAGAATGATGAAATTTGTTGCGTTAAAGATGTAAATGCCTCCTTCATTCGTATTTGAATTAGAAACATTTTTCTCTTGGTATAAGGGATCATATTTTTTTTCAAACAAATATTTTACACAATACCTTCGTATCATTACACACTTTACTACTCATAGTTGCAGTGGTTTTGATTAAATGACGCCGAGATTTCGATTCATTTTCACGTTTATGTACCAGTGGATTCTTCAAAGTATAAAAATTGGTTAATATAGGTTAATTTTTGGTTAATTAGATTAATTTTTCAAAAACTAAATATACAGAACAATTATACAAATTATAAACTCTTAACAGATTGATATTTCTACTAAACATTTACTATAAGCTTATTATGAAAATTAATTACAATAAAAAATAACTTTTTGGCTTTAAAATCTTGAAAAACGTTAGTTATCTTCACACAAAAATGTCGCAATGTATAAACGTTTAAAAACGACTTTTGGGATCTTTTGGGATACACTGATTACAGTATAAAATGAGTACTTAAAAAACAATGCATGATGAAAGCATTGATGAAATTATAATATACCTCTGAAATATGGTTGTCTACATCAGTGGTGCTTTCTTCATAATTAGAAATCTAAAAAGACACAGTGATATGGATTCAATTGAACAGTGTGTAAAAAAATAAATTGTTAATTGCAATAATAAAATTAAATACATTAATGTTTTCAGAACAATGTGTGGTCAAATTGCAGAAATTATTAATTATTAATTAAATATGTACCCTCGAATCATTTGTTTGTAATGCATCGTTTTCTTCAAATTCAATCGTCTAAAAAGTCACGTGATAGAATAAATTTGTTTTTAATATTTACCTCAATTGTTAGAAAATTAAATACCAATCAACGTACCTTCCCTGCCGAAAATGTTCGATTAAAACGGATTAAAAAAAAATGTAATCCGAATCGATCGGGATTTCTGCACCGATCATTTTGAAGTCGGATTTGCTGTTATTATGAGTCACAATTAATTATTGAATTGGTGTTTCTGCAATTGAAACTCAGTTGTTAAGCGGATCTACGGAATCGCGTTACACACCGCTTTTCGCTCATCTCTGAGCGTTTCTTAAGATTCGGGAGATCTCGTCGAGGTCGACTCCCGAACAGTATAATTTCGGATTGAGGTGGAGATATATCATCCAACATTAATCTCGCCTGAAGCGTACTAAATTCGATTTGACTATTTTCAATCGGTTTTAATACCTCATTTTTGGTGCAGAAATCCCGATCGATTCGGATTACATTTTTTAAAATCCGTTTTAATCGACCATTTTCGGCAGGGAATTTCTAAAAAAGAAAGGAAAAAGAAAGGGATATATTTGAAGATGTTAGATTTAAAAAAAATAATACTAGTACCCAATTTCGTAAATAAAATCTTATTAATGTATTTATTTATTTTTTCTTAAATTTTAATAAAAATTTTAAAAATGAAAAAATTGGTAATTATAAGAAATATTTTATTTGCAAAATTGGATACCAGTTTCATCTAAAATATATTAAAA